CAGATGACACCACCCTTATGGCAGAAAGCCAAGAGGAACTAAAGAGCTTCTTGATGAAAGTGAAAAAGGAGTGTGAAAAAGTTGTCTTAAAACTCAACATTCAGAAAACCAAGTCCATGGCATCTGGTCCCATCACTTCATGGCAAATAGATGGGGAAACAGTGGCTGACTTTATTTTTTTGGGCTCCAAAATCACTGCAGATGGTGACTGCAGCCACAAAATTAAAAGATGCTTGCTCCTTGGAAGAAAAGCTATAACCAACCTAGACAGCACGTTAAAAAGCAGCGAGCAAAGAAAAAAAAAAAGCAGAGAGATTACTTTTCCAACAAAGGTCCATCTAGTCAAGTTTATGGTTTTTCCAGTAGTCATATATGGATGTGAGAGCTGGACTATAAAGAAAGTTGAGCGCTGAAGGATTGATGCTTTTGAACTGTGTTGTTAGAGAAGAGTCTTGAGTCCCTTGGACTGTAAGGAGACCCAACCAGTCCACCCTAAAGGAAATCAGTCCTGAATATTCAAGCTGAAACTCCAATACTTTGGCCACCTGATGTGAAGAACTGACTCATTGGAAAAAACCCCGATCCTGGGAAAGGTTGAAGGCAGGAGGAGAAGGGGATGACAGAGGATGAGGTCGTTGGATGGCATCACCGAATCTATGGACATGAGTTTGAATAAACTCTGGGAGTTGGTGTTGGACAGGGAAGCCTGGCGTGCTGCAGTCCATGGCGTTGCAAAGAGTCGGACACAACTGAGTGACTGAACTGAGTTATGCCTTCTGTTTATGTGATTCATTTTAACATGAAGAATATGATGGATATCATGATAATTCCTGATTTTATAAAAGTCACAAAAATCTCATGCTTCCAACAGATCTTTCCCACCAAATGCCCCTAAAGAACAGCTTTCTATGCCTCCATGTTGTCCCCCTGTTCTGTATTTGCTTCTGTTTCTGTGGCAGGGTTTGTTTGATGTTCTGAGATGCCATTCCAGGGATGAAGGGGAGTCCTGCTTGTAGAGCAGGTGCCCCCTCTCTGGGAGGCATGATGGCCCCAGAGACACTTCTGTGGCCATGAGGATTCTCTCCTGATTCAGATGGGTGGCAGGCTGCAGTCCCTCCTCGACACAGGAAGCAGATGACTCCCCTGTGCATTCAGAGGGGATGGAGGGAGGCAACCAAGGATGAGAAAGTAGGTGGGAGGAGGAATTGATTGCCCAAATTCCAAAGAGAGGTGACAATTCTCTCTGGAACATTGTATTTCATTGGAAAGAACACAGCATAGACTGCCCAATACCCTGCTGAGCATTTTCAGCTGATAACAAGGAAATCGATGGGTGGCAAAGGAAACATCTCTTTGCTTCTTGGTGTGAGAGAGACCGAGCGTCTCTGATGTGAGTTTCTCAAAGTTTTCCTCCTTGGTTCTGCTCGTCTGGCAGAAAATGAGTGTTTAAGCAGATGCCCACCACACCATACAGTGCAGGGAGCAGGGTGCCATCAGCACTGAAGAGAAGGCTTTTCTGTAAATGCTGGTCCAGAGTTGCTTTGACAGCCTTTCTGCTTTATTCTTCCCCCAAAATCATCAATCCCTGAAGCACTGTGTGTGTGTGTGCGTGTATACACAGGCATGCACACAGGCATGCAGCTCTGATAGCTCTCTGGTCCTGCCCAGATGGGAGCTCTGTCCCCAGACTCACCATTTGCATCATGAGAATACTCTATGCCAGACACAGTGCATCTTCGGAAAACCATCTTATTCTCAGTTAAAGTGCCCGTTTTATCTGAGAAGATATACTGTATCTGCCCTAGGTCTTCCGTGATGTTCAGAGCTCGGCACTGCAGTTGCGAGTCTGTTTCCTCGTCGTATAGTTCTATGTCCTGGTTGATGAAGTACACTTGGCACACTTTAACAATTTCAATAGAAACATACAAGGAAATAGGGATCAAAACCTAGGAGACACAAAACACAGACAATGAATGGCGGTGAGGACCTGCGAGCCGGGGCTTTTGTTTTCAATTTAAATGACAAACAACTATAACTGCAAGGAAGTAGGGACTATACTGTACCTTTCAGAGCTTAAACAGGCGGGCTTAGAGTCAGTATTGTTAGACTATTAGAGTATTGGCAAAGAGTTTAAACTAGGGCAGCCTATGGTGCCACAGAGAGGAAATCCACTATCATGTCTGGAAGCATGGAAACCAGGGCTTGTATAGAAGCAAGCATTTTCATATTACTAAGCTGCACGTGAGAGAAGCTAGGGAAGGAGAGAGAGAAACAAAACACACGGCACAGTCAGAGTCCTGAAAAGCAAAGTCACCTCGCACCCAGGCTGAGCCGGGGCTCCCGATGCCAGGAGCTGCCCGTGCCGCAGACACACCCCACCGTTCAGGAGAGACAGTCTTTTCAGAGGCAGGTTCTGTGCTGGAGGACAGTCTCTGTGATCTTGTACAGTACAGAGCAGAGGCAAGAGGCTTTGAGAAGAACAGTCACAGTTATGCTTTGACAATTCAAGAATAACATTCATAAAATCAGCGTTCAATTTTCTCCTTATTTGTGGAGTAAGCATATTATGCTGATACTTATGGGTTCAGACTATCACATTCCGACTAACTGGGTTCTTTGGGTAACTTAAGCATATGTAAATGCAACGCCTACTACAGTACTAACTCAAGGCTAGAACAAAATTTGCATTCATAAAAGGAGACTAATTTGGAAAGTTAAATAAGACTATTGCCCGCAGTGTGAAGCACATGTAAAAGAGATAGTAGAGCCCGCCTTTAAGGCAAAGGCTAAACCTTCTGCTCACTCTGTCTCCCTAAGGAGGGTGGCAGAGATGCTGGCTGCCCCCGCCACTCCCACAGGCCTGTGGGCCATAGTTTCTCAGTTAATGACGGGGACTTGTTCGGGAGGCATGGGAAGTAACGATAACAACAATAATAATAACCAGTGCTGCAAACTGCAATGTGATATCCTGAACCGACTCCTGGAAAAGAAAAAGCACATCAGTGGAAAGACTAGTAGAAGCTAAATAACGTCTGAAATCTTGTTCGTGGCAGTCTTAAAGCTGGTTTCTCAGTTTTGACAGAGTACCATGGAAATGTAATACACTCACATTAGGACACACTTGGTGAGGGGCACGTGAGAACTCTCTGTACTATTTTTTGTAACTAGTCTGTTGATCTTAAAATTATTCTAAAATAAAACATGGGCTTTTCAAAGAAGTAACTGAGTGAAAAAAACACTGATCAGAAAACCAACCCCTTAGAACCTAAGAATCTTAAGAACAGTAAAGGAGAATTTTAACTTGAAAAGCACCCCAGAAAAGGTCCTTTAGATAAGTTAGGTGGAACACAAAAGGCAACACATTCATCAGGTGAATCTGTGCTCCTCCCAGATGCAGAATCTGTAGGAAGTTCTTATAGACTATGGTGACTTGAAGTTCTCACCAGAAAGGTAAAGCAGCTGGCAGATGGAACTTAGTATTGTTACCTGCAAAACTATTATCATTGTCAAAAATGAGTAAACTGCAGCTGGGACTGGGGATAATGAGGTGCCATCAGATTCAGGGACATCAAATAATGATTTCTTCTCTTGATAGCGCTGTACCCACAGTCCGTGTCCTGTAGCAAAATTCAAAGAGAAACGTCATTCACCCAGTAGAGAAATAAAAGAGTAGTGCTTAGTCCAAATTACAGCAACACTTTTAAGACTGTCACTCAACACAAGCACACTGGGCTTCGTGAGCCCGACTGGCCACCAAGAAAGCAAAGCCCATGGTACTGTTGGCACCTGCTGGAAGGCAGGCCCTGGGACTGGGACTCTGCCCCGGACCTTCCCCGTCGCTGGCACCAAACAGCACATGGTCACGACACAGGAACTGTGTGTGTGCGGGCAGCTGCCAGTGAGAACCCCAGAGATGAGTTTCCCAGCGTGTGTCTCACAACACACTAGTAGGCTCTGAATACTGAATACTGCCTCTTGTCCATGCCTGGAGATTAAAAATTCACATCTCACAGACTGAGAACCAGTGAAGTTGCTCAGTCGTGTCTGACTCTTTGGGATTCCATGGACTGTACACACTCCTCCATCCAGGGAATTCTCCAGGCAAGGGTACTGGAGTGGGTTGCCATTTCTTTCTCCAGGGGATCTTCCCGACCCAGGAATCAAACCCAGGTCTCCTGCATTGCAGGCAGACGTTTTACCATCTGAGCCACAAAGGAAGCTCGACAGACTGAGAAGCCAACAGCAACACACATGATCTCACCATGCCCAGCTGATGACAGAGCCCTTTCATGCCCACAAACCTGTGCCTTTCACAGGCTCTGAGACCCGTCACACCTGGGCATGGTGGCAGCTGAGCAGGGGCACGACGATCACTTGCCCGGAGGTGCCACGTGCTTTCCTGCCGGGCGACCCCAGGCAGGTGAGGTCTGGAGGCCACGGGAGGCCGCAGGTGCCAGAGTCCACTCTCAGCCTAATTGCTAGCCCCTTCTAGAACCCCAATAACATTTGCCCTGTTTTCCCAGAGTCCCTATTAGTAGAATTTGTGCTTCTACTGCTCTTATTCCTGCTATCAGAAGGTTAGTATCACTTTTTCCACTGGAACCATAGTAGATGTGATTAGGCTGTCCTTCCACCAAAGAAGTTGCCAATTTCAAAAACACGGCTTTGCCGAGTTCATGCATTGAGGTGTCTCCACGTGGCCTCGCTGGGACAAACACCCCGCGTCCCAGCCCGGGACAGACGTGTGTAAATTAGAGCACCAGGTCAGGAGGAGACAGAGGCAGCCTGGTGGGCGTGCCCACTCCTCACGGCCCTCTGAGGAGACGTACCGATGGCTGAGGACAGAGACATGCAGATGAGGAGGAGGACACACCAGAGCACGTCGCAGTTCATCTGCCTCTCCAGCTGGCTGCGCTTGTAGCGGGGGCCACTGTTGTTCAGCAGAGCCTTGGTCTCGTGTCCTGCAGGGCAGACAGAGCACAGCGATGCGTCAGGGCCAGCGGGGACGGACGGACTGAAGGAGGCTGCCATCCAGCAATCCGCAAGGGACAAGCTCAGTCAGAAAACCGGGCTCCACAGTTCACCTCAAATGTGTGAGCACCCTGGGGCAATGCAGAGAAAGAAACAGGCTAACAGGCTAACATGCTAAGAACACTCCCGGTCCAGATATTAAATATTTTGCTTCTTTCTGTTCTCCTGGTTTTCTGCAATGGGTTTATGCTACTTTGATAATCAGGAACAGAATGAAACAATCAGGGAGCCATGTCCAGGAATACCCAGCCCAATGTGGCAAGCTAGCGCTTGTCCCAGACATGTGACACACAGCACCCACCTGCATAGATGACAATACCGACGACGGCTTCCGTGTTTCGGAGGGTGCAGCCTCGAAGCAGCAGATTTTCTTTGTAGAGTCCAGCCTTTTTGCCATTGTCATGTATGCTGTCAGGGAACAGTTGGCATGGGTCAGGAGGGTGCTCAGGACTCAAGCAGTACCACCAGGGAAGGCAGGCCTAGACTGGGAGCTGGAGAGGGGAGGGGGCGGAGGGGCCCAGTGGGTCTCGGCAAGAGCGGAGGTGGGGCTATACAAACTGCTAGAAGCCTCCCCAGAGCCTGATGTTTGTTCGTTTACTTTGCCCATGGGCTTTGTCAAATAATAAGAAATGTATAATTTTGTCTCTGCTCCTGGTTCCTGACACAGGGCTCCTAACACCTTTGTAAACAGGAGTGCTAGAATAACCTTTTATTCTAATATTTAGCCCCAGTACCTGGCACAGAGCTCCCTAAATTCTTGTAATTTCCTAAGTGATAAGAGCACTAGGAATATCTGCTGTTCTAATACTTGGTCTTTGAGCCTGGCTGTTCTTGACACACAGGACTAAGCCTGTCACCTGTGGGATCTGATACTCTCCCCGCGTGGTGTCAGAACGTAATTAGACTGTGGGACAGCCGGCTGATGTCACAGGATTGCCTGGTGTGGGAAAGACCCACACATCAGAATTGGAAGCAGGACCACTGTAGGCTTGTCACCACAGAGACTGGCCACAGCTAGAGAGGGCAGGGCCCGAACTGGGGCCCAAGGCGGGAAGCTTGCCTAGGAAGACCCTGCCCTCAGCCTGTCACCACGGGGAACTTTGCTCCTCACCAGTACACCTCATGTTGTCACAAAGTGTAAATATTTCTCACGAAAAAGGGATCACACTGGTTTCAACAATAGTGTCTACATTCAGTTCTTCTTATAAAAAGTCGTTAGAAACATCAACATGTTAAATTTGATGCGATAAATTCCATGAGACAATTTTGTACATTTGGCTTACTGAGCTTCCCAGGTGGCTCAGTGGTAAAGAATACATCTGTCAATGCAAGCAGGTATCTAAGATGTGGGTTCGATCCCTGGGTCGGGAAGATCCCCTGGAGGAGGAAATGGCAACCCTCTCCAGTATTCCTGCCTGAAGAATCCCATGAATGGAGGACCCTGGCGGGCTACAGTCCATAGAGTCGCAGCCAGACATGCCAAGTGACAGGGCATGAGTTATTTATATTCAGAGACTATAGAAAGTTCAAGCAACTGCTTTTTAAATTCATTTTCTTGACCCATTAATGGCAGGCACACTCTCAGCCCTGTTGGACAAGATTGTCCTATGCTAGGGCCTTTCTGGTGTGGACGGGGTCCTAGGAGCCTGATGTGGATGGGGTCCATGTGGATGGGGTCCCAGGAGCCTGATGAATGGGTCACAAGGGGAGGCCGTGGAAGCTTCCAGAACTCGAGCAGGAGTGCAACCTGACCTCCATCAATCAGGCAATAGCTCCTGCCTTCCACGAAGTTACCCGCTCACAGCCTAGGTGGGCAGGCCTCTCCAGCCCTCCTGCCCACCCCCAGCCCCGTCTCCTTTTCTCAGGTCCTAAGGCCAATCAAAGACCCCTGCAGGTACCATTCCTCCCATAGCTCCTAACACAGTGCCCACTGACCGGGAACAGAGCTGGTCTGGAGAGGAATGAGGTCAAAAGGAGCCCATAAGGTGTTTTCCTGGAGGAAACAGCACTTCCTGCCACTTTAGTCCCTGGTCACCTGCATGAGGGACGTGTCAGACACAACCCACCTTCTTTACAACCAGGGAAATCAGAATATTGCACAGTGAAGAAAAGAATAAAGATAAGGCCAAAGCACAAGCTGAGGGACACATTTCCTGCAAACCTGGTATTTACCATCACAGCATCAGTTTCTGCAGAACTCATGCAAAATAACATGCAGGCCCATGGGCAACCAACCCTGTGTAATACCCCCTTTGTGGCAATCCCAGAACAGAGTACATTTTCACTTTAAAAAGAGATACAAGACTTGAGACCTCAGTGCCAGCTAAAGCGTCAAGACACCGCATGCGGGAGACGTCACACACAAAACCCAGCTCCGCCGCCACAGTTCTCTCTCCAACGGCCAGGCACAGAAAGCGCTCCTCAGGACAGCAGCCGAGGACACGTCCTGCAAACCAGACCAGTCAGGTGCACTCAGAACAAGAGATGAACTCAACGGAAACAAGAGAAAGGCCTTTACTCCATTAAGCTTCCTTTGACATGACCTACACCTGTTAGGAACTACTGTGCTTTCTAATGAGACCAAGTCAGACCAGAGCTGATCTCGGCGGGTTCACCGGCCTGTTTATGGCTCCCGGCCGCACACACTGATGATGACTGTGCTCTGAGTGATGCTGCTGCATCAGAAGGGGAGAAAGGCTAGGGAACGGCGCTACCTCGCAGGTGCTCCGTAGCAAAAGGGCTGCCTTGGTCACCGGAGGGAGGAGGTCCCTGCCGAGGGCAGCAGGGCCCACCAGGCCCCGGGCTGACTCTGGGAAGAGGCATACGGCAGTGAGCCCAGCACATTGCCCTCAGCAGCTCTTTTTCTCCCCTGGAATTCGTTTGTTCAGGTCCTAACCCCCGTATCTCAGAATACTGCACCTGGAGTCAGGTCTTTAAAGAGACGATTAAGTTAAAATGAGGGCATATGGCTGGGCCCTACCCCCACATGCCTGCTGTCTCTATTATAAGAGGAGGAGATTCGGACGCAGAGTCAGACAAACACGGAGGTGAAGGCAGCGTGGGGACACAGGGAGAAGGTGGGCGTCTGTACGCCCCGGAGAGGGGACCCGGGAGAAGCCAGTCCTGCCGACACTTGGATCGCAGGCTTCCAGCCTCCAGAACCGTGAGACAGTATGTTTCTGGGGTTTAAGCTGCCCAGTCCACGTTAGCCCGAGCAGACGGACACATCCTTTAACGTTTAATCTGAGCCATGCAGAAGAGCTCCTGGTTGGCGGCCAGCATCCTGAGGTCCCCCGTGGTCATGCAGGCTCTGTGGCCCACAGGCAGGGACCCCAGAACCCGCTTCATGGAGAACTTAGGACAAGAAACAGGGCCCAGCTTTACCACTGGAAATGGAACCTTGAATCAGAAGACAAAACCAACTAACCTCTCTGCTTTATTCATTCTTTAGGAGTAAGTGAAAATGGTTAAGCAGTGGCTTCAAAGGCCACCATCACTCTGCCGTGGGGCTGCTGGGTGAGCGGAGTAGGGTGCCCCGCATGGCCGGACTCTGCACTCACAGCAGCCCTCTGTGCTGCCAGGGCCCAGGGGGAGATGTGGGCAGCGGCGGGATTTCCAGCTCCTCTCTCTGAGGATTTCCTAAGTGCTCCACTAAAGGGAAGGGGCTTCCCAGCTGTCACAGTAGTAAGAATCCACTTGCAGTGCAGGAGACGCATGAGAAGTGGGTTTGGTCCCTGGGTCGGGAAGATCCCCGGGAGAAGGAAATGGCAACCTACTCCAGTATTCTTGCCTGGACAATCCCATGGACAGAGGAGCCTGGCGGCCTACGGTCATGGGGTTGCAAAGAGTCAGACAAGACTGAGCAACTCAGCACACGCACACAGCTAAAGGGACTGCATTCAGGTCAATGAGCAGGGGCTTCCCTGTGGCTCAGCGATAAAGAACCCGCCTGCCAATGCAGAAGACACAGGTGTAATCCCCGACCCAGGAAGATGCCACATGCCGCAGAGCAACTAAACCCCTGTGTCACAGCTACGGAGCCTGAGTGCTCTAGAGCCTGTGCTCTGTGACAGGAGAAGCCGCTGCAGTGAGGTGTCCACACAGCGCAGCTAGAGAGAAGCTCCCCTCCTCCAAACTGAAGGGAAGCCTGCACAGCAGTGAGACCCAGCACAGCCAAAACTAAATAAATAAATAGAGTTATAAAAGCCAGTGGCCGTTAAAGTACACTGGAGTCATGAGGCGCTTGACGTTTTTATTTTAACAGCCTGAACTATGTTTCATATGCTGTGAAATTCATCCATTTAACATGCACAGCTCAGGTTTTTTGGTGTATTCACAGAGTTTTTCAGTAATCCCCACCAGCTAATTTTAGAATGCTTTCATCGGAAAGAAACCCTATACCCATTGGCAGTCACTCCGCATTCCTCCCCCACGTCCAACCCTGGCAAACCATGAATCCACGTTTTGCCTCTAAAGATGTTCCTACTGCGGGCATTTCACACCAATGGGACCACACAGTATGGCTGACCCCACCCTCTGATTCACATCGTGTCTTTCACCCCATTGTCAGCCACCGTTCTGTCCAGAATTTGATGGAAGTCAGGGTTCAGAAACACAGGGCAACTTTCCTAAAGGGAAGGGGAAGAGCTGGGATTCTGTCCGGGGACACCTTGGTACAATCTCAAGCAAGGTTAGTTCTCCAGCTGCAAACAGCTAAGGTTTCACGTTTGGATTAAGAGTGAAACCCACGGGCCTCCTGGTGGCCTGAATGGGGTTACAGGGCGGCAGCTGAGGCCGGGCTGAAGGCGGGCCGCCAGGGGCAGGCAGCGAGAGCCAGCAAACCAGGGAACTGGCTCCGCAGCTGCTCTGGCCCTGAGGCTAAGCTGCAGCTCTCCTGCCCAGGGCAGCCCCAAGCCTGAGCATCAGGACCAGAGCCGGGCAGAGGCCCACTCCCTCCCTTCTGCTTGGCGGAGGGCTCAGGACCTGGAGGAGGACTCAGGACCTGGAGGGGGGCTCAGGACCTGGGCCCAGGCCCCTCTATGGGGGTCTGCTCAGCCGCCTACCCCTCCCCAAGCACGGTTTCTGCAGACTTCCGCCGGAGTCACAGAGGGAGGCGTTTTCAACACACCACCGCCAACAGCCAGCTCCAGAGCCCTGGCTGGACAGGCCTGTCCATGAGAGGGGCCCGTCTGCACCCTGACATCCTTGTAGCAGATCCCAATACTGCCCAGGAGAGAGAGCAAGGCACAGCAGCAGGGGAGGTCTAAGCACTCAAGACCTGAGCGGCCCAGGCTCTGGTGGAAGCCACGGGCAGGACAGCCTGTTGGGAAAAGTGAGAAAAAGCACGACAGGGCTGGTTCAGAGCGGGGAGAGGCCCCGCCCCCGGGCGGCGCCAGCGAGGAGGACGCGGGAGCGCCTGCTGGAGGCGCCCGTCTGGGCAGGCGAGTCGGCCTGGCTGCGGTCGTGGCACCGTCCGCTGGAGGCGTCTTCCCGGGAAAGGCCGCTGGGCCCGCCGAGGGGGCGGTGCTCGGACTGCAGGTGGGCGAGTGCCGCAGGTCACCCCCTCCCGGGTCACCGCAGTCCCCGCCCCTGGAGGTCCCCTGGAGATCTCCAGCCGGGCCTTTGTTATTTCTCTCCCTACCAAGTGTCCCTCTTCTTTTTTCGAGCCTTTCATTCCCGGCTCGGCCCTTCCTTTTCCAGACCCATTTCTAGAAAGAGTGGTTGACACAGAAGTCCTCCTCCGCCCCGTCCTCAGCCCCCACAGCGGGGCCCTCCCTCCCGGGCTCCCGCAGAGTCCGGCGCACCGGCGCCTTCCTCTCGACCCGGGGTCCCGTGCTCGTCCCACCGCGCTGCCCTCGGTGAGCACCCCGGCCCCTGCTCCCGGCTGTGGGAACCGCTGTCTGGACCCTGCGCTCTCGTTCCCTCTGACCCTGACCCACGATGCTCTGCTGTCTCTCCATCTTCAAACACAACCTGCAGACAGGCTCCTCAAACCCGTAATTCAGCCCCTACTCCCCGAACTCCTGTCATATGCATTTTCTCTATCAGCTGGGTCATTCCACCAGATGAACTTGCTCATCAGCTCCTCGTGTGCAGGGAATCCCAACTCCCATCTCTCCTCCAGTCTCTTCCCTGTTCCTCACATAGGAGACAAGCCCTCCTGCCGCCCGCTCGTCCACTGGATCTTCCTCCCCAGGGAGTATTCGAGTCCTCTGCTGGGCCTCCCTGCTAACTGGGCTGTCCCTGCTCTATCGTATGACAGCATTAACCCAGAAGCAATGACCGTTAATAGTGGCCAATGTTTATTAAGCACCCACCCTTCTGAAAGCTTTCCGCAGACTAAATTGACAAGCTTTGCACCCATGACACAAGGGCCTCCTGGATTCTCCCCATTATACAGATGAGTAAAGTAGAGTAGTTCACTGGCACTGTCTTGCTGGAAAGCATGGGCTCCAGAATCTGCCTAAGTACAAGCCAGATGTAGTGAATATCCCTGTTTAACAGAGGTATTAAAAAGCAGAGATACTTTGCCAACAAAAGTCCACATAGTCAAAGCTGTGGTTTTTCCAGGAGTCATGTACGGATTTGAGAGTTGGACCATTAAGAAGGCTAAGTGCCCAAGAACTGATGCTTTTGAACCATGGTGTTGGAGAAGACTCTTGAGTGTCCCTTGGATGGCAAGGAGATAAAACCAGTCAATCTTAAAGGAAATTAAACCCTGAATATTCATTGGAAGGACTGATGCTGAAGCTGACACTCCAATACTTTGGCCACCTGATTCAAAGAACTGACTCATTGGAAAAGAGCCTGATGCTGGGAAAGACTGAAGGCAGGAGGAGAAGGGGACAACAGAGGATGAGATGGTTGGTTGGCATCACTGAGTTTGAGCAAGCTCCTGGAGATGGTGAAGGACAGGGAAGCCTGGCATGCTGCAGTCCATGGGGTTGCTGAGAGTCCGACATGAGTGAGTGACTGAACAACAACCAACAAACACAGAGGGAGCTCCTGAGGGCAGAACCGAGCTGCTGACTCGGGGCTGATGCCCCTCCAGCTCTAGTCCCAGTCTGGGGCAGGCAACAAGTGTGTGGGGGTGGTCTGACCACAGGCGCCTGACACCCCGCACAGCAGGAGGGCACCAGTCACGATGCAGCCTGAGAAGGAGGTCAGAGTTGTCACCAAGAGCTACCCATCAGCAAGAATACCCACAGAATGTTCTCCCTAGAGGCTGCCCCCACCTCCTTCACTTCAGGGTTTGCTCTGTTCTGCCCGCCGGGCCCTGGAGATTTTGGGGTGATGCCAAGGATGGTGTACAAAGTCTGGGGCTAGGGGTGGGCAGTGCACACAGGGGCTGGGAAACCCACAGAAGAGCACTTTCAGACGGAGGCCTGGGTATGTGCCCCCAAATTTTACAGCTGACATTTTAGGAGTTTTCTTATGAGTTTTACCCTCCTTTAACCAGTTCCTTTAAGGGGTGACCTAACGCTTCCAAGTTCTAGTTGATACTCAGGCAAGAACAGGCAAGCACTGGCAGTTTCAGCAGGTGTGAACATCTCTTGCCCTTCATGGTGCACTTTTCATTCACCGACGCTCCCATTGCCCCCAACAAGATGGGGAGCCCACTGTGTGCACACAGGCAATGATGCTGGATGTGTCAGGAAAGCAGAAGACTCGAACTCATGCCAAAAGCTCCTGTAGTGGAGCCCTTCCAGGAGCAGAGCTCCAGCCCCACCCACGTGTCCGTGGCGGCCACACGGCATCTCGGCCTCTAAGCAGCATCCCGAGGAGCCGGCCCCGCAGAGCTGGATGGCTGCGGGAGGCCCCAGCTCCCCGCATCACATCTGCGGCCCCCAGGCTTGGTTCACACAGCTGCCCCCCGGCAGGGCGTCCCCACCAGCATCAGCTCCACAAGTCTGTGCGGCCCCCTGTTCTCTCCCACCTCCCTTTCCCCACACCCCATCCATGACTACAGGAATTTCCAACCATTTGCAGAAGCACAAGGGTGGCCCTTACTTTCCCCAGACAGCCCCAGCCCAGCTTCAACTAGCACCACCAGGCAGCTGATCCCATGTCATTCATCTACCTTTCTTGTCTCTCTGTTTTGGAGCAAGGTGCTGGACTATTTATTTAACATGCTCGAGGACTTTTAATTTTGTTTATGTCTCTGTGTTCCCCTGACTCAGTGAAATAAACAAGATGGAAGGCATTTCTTTGTATTCAGTTCACTGCATTATCCCCAGATCCTTAAGAAGGGCCTAGCACACAGCAGGTGCTCAGCAAATACTTGTTCAATGGCTGAGTATGAACGAAGGCATGAACTCCCAGGCAGGCTCCTTCTGCCCGGTGTCTGTGCTTCCACTTACGGTGCACGTGCAGTCACTGTGTTTCTCACCCCCCACCTTCCCAGGCTGCTGGATGGAGGGAATCTGACCAGCGTCCACAGCCGACAGGCTCTTGTCAAACAGCCCTGTGAGCTCAGGGACAGGGCAACAGTCCTGAAAGGCTGCACTCACACACAGACGCACACGGTGTTTACTATACACCCTGGGCCATCGAACAACATGGGTTTGAGCTGTGTGATTCCACTTATTCGCAGAGTTTTTTTCGGTAAACACAGTATTACACCATCCAAGTTTGGCTAAATCCACAGACGCAGAACTGCAGATCCAGAGGGCAGACTATGGGACTTAAAAATCCGTGGTTTTGGTACCCTGGCAGGTCCTGGGATCAATCCACCATGGACACTAGCAGGGTTGGCACCCCACACTGCAAGCTGCTCAAGGGTGGACTGTACACACTTATATCATTTGTCAAACAGAAGGGTAAGCCCAGGCAGAGGTCTGATACTCACATGCACCCACGGAACCTACTCAGGTCGTTGTTGGGCTTCTCACACTCGATTATGCTGGTGAACGTCAAAGGATTGAATTCCGAGACCTAAAATAATAGCGCATACACATTAGAGAGATCTGGGGTCAGCTTTGTTCATCTAAAAGTCACTTGCTTCTCGGTCTCCCACCTACAGCAGCAGCATTTCATGAAGGTCTCTGCATTTGTAACCTGTGCACACGCACACGCGTGCACACACACACACGTGCACACGCACACACACGTGCACACGCACACACACACTCACAAAATTAACCATCAAAGCGGGTGTGAAAAGTCACTTGCTTCTCGGTCTCCCACCTACAGCAGCAGCATTTCATGAAGGTCTCTGCATTTGTAACCTGTGCACACGCACACACGTGCACACACACACACGTGCACACGCACACACACGTGCACACGCACACACACACAGTGCTTGGCCTGTGCATTTTTGTTTCTATGGTGAATGACAGCTGTCCGTGAGCCCACAGGACTGTAGCTTTAATGCAAATGAAGCACATGTGGTAGAAGAGGGCAGGGAGGAGTTCAGTTTCTTGAGACAGATCAGCACCTTCCAACTTTCCACACGGATTTGGAGAAGCAGATTCCATCTGAAAAACAGGAGCTTAGAATAAAAATATCATTTCCTCAACATGCTCTAAAAATTCTTCACAGATATCTGGGGGCAGACATTTAAATAATCAGTGTGTCAGCCAATAATCTCTTTATCCTTCTGCTTGATGAAAAAGTGAAAGCTCTCAGAACCTGGCACCAAGAGGTGAAGCGAGGCCTGGCTCGTGTGGAGAGATGCACGCGGAGAGGGAAAGGGCGAGGAGGGCGGGTGGCAGGGAGCGCACGAGACACGGGGGACACACCTCCAGTGCAAACTATGGAGGCCCATCTGCAGATTTTTAAAACCAGCTTGCTTTGATCAGGCTGGCCATTCTCTTTCACCCACCAAGCGTCACCACGTGGTTTAAAAAAAAAAAAGATGTGTCTTGGCTCATGCAAGCGTAGCATCACAAAAAAGGGGTAACTGGTTAAACATCAGAGGGATGGTGGAAACACTGGTGACTCCCCTGCCAGGTAACGGTTACTCCAGCACAACAGCGCCCCCGACTTGGCAGAGAAGCTGGCTGTGAAGGTAATGCCTCAAAAGTTAGCCCAGCTGTTTTCCAGGGTGTCACAGACATTACAAGAACTCACAACATAGTCGTAGCTTGATTCCATAGCTGAAAAGAAAGCGCTGCTTTAAGACTCTTCTTGAAGTTTCATTAGCTGTGGGTACCTCTGTCCGTGGACTGAAATGCCCTCTGGCTCTGCTCCAGAGTACGGCTATGCTTGGAGGAGTGTGTTTATTTCAGGCCTTGTGGATCCTCCTGAAGCCAGGCGGTTGCCTTTTCCAGGACAGACCTCTGCAGATGCAACGCCCAGGACGGGTGAGCTCCCCAGCACACCAGGGTTATTCTTGGCAGACAGGGAGGGCGGACTTAAAATACTCTGTTTCTGTTTATGATTCTTTCTCTCGAAGAAAAATGTAATGTGCATGGCTCAGAGACTAGAACATTCTGTCTCTGGAGCGTCAGAGCTGCATTTGTAACCTTCTACCAATAAGCCTGTGCCCTGGGGAATGTGTGTGCCCAGGGCACGGGATGCCTGCCTTCGCCTGCTTGTTGGGGAGGATTTTTACAACTGGAGGGATCTGTAGAGACTGTTCTGGGTTGAACTGTGTCTCCTCACTTCCAACCCTAGAACCCATATGTTGAAGTCCTAATCCCCAGTACCTCAGAATGTAACTGTATTTGGACATAGGGTCTTTACAAAGGTAAGTAAGGTAAAATGGGATCATTAGGGTGAGGCCTCGTCCCTCATGCAATCTGCCTGGTGCTAGCGTGTGGACGTGCACGCACACGCTGAGGGATGACTGTGAAAAGAAAGAAGGAGGAGACACCCATCTACAAACCAGGGAGAGGAGCTTCAAACAGAGCAACGCTGTGAACACCCTGACCTTGGACTCTGTGGCCTCCAGTACTAGGAGAAAATAAATTTGTTGTTCAGGCCACTCTGTAGCCCTAACAAACTAGTATAATATAGAGTCCATCTTTGAGTTCCCCATTTTAAAAGGGTTTTGTGTCTGGAGCACATCTTTTGGATAAGAAAATTCTACTTACCCTGATGGTTTCCAACTTAACTGGCAATCTCTTAATACCCCCATGTAAGAAATATATTTATTTCTCTCTCCACCCAATCATTTACGCATCCACTTCCTGCCAAACTGGGTTCAAACTGGTGCCCAAGTCATCCATCAGCCAAGCTTCTGTTGACCCAGCTCCAAAGCAAGGATAGAAGGTCCAGTCCACCATTCTATGCCAAGCATGCTAACTCCATATTTTTATTATGGGGAAGGTGAAAAAGTTCTGGAGATGGATGGTGGGGGTCACTGCACAAGACTCTGAAGGTGCTTAATATCACAGAACTGCACATTCAAAAATGGCAAAAATGGGGGAATTCGCTGGAGGTCCAGTTAGGACTCTGCACTTTCACTGTGGGGGCATGTCAGGGTACTAAGACCCCACAAGCCCGTGGCGTGGCCAAAGGACAGAAAGTCCAATGTAACAAAGATGCTCTACCTTAAAAATAAAAATGACGAAAAGGGTAAATTCTGTATTATGTATGTTTTACCACAATAAAAAGTTTAAAGAAAGCAAATATAAACAAACACTGAGAACTGACTGTGAATAAAGAGATGAATCATCAAGCAGCACCTAGCTCAGAAATCCAGGAATTTCAGCACAAACGTGTAGAGCCTCATGCTTGAGTCACCGGAGGGCACCTCTACACATCACTGGTATCATTATCATCATCATCAGTCATAGCTGCGGTGCTCTGACATCTCACCACCCCTCACAGCACCACAGTGAGGTCCATTTTCAAACCACTTTTAATGTGGGGTGATGTAGGACCATGCCCACAGTCACGTGGCCAGGGGGTGACTGAGGGAGGCTCCTCAGTGTCTCAGACATCCAGCTCAGCAGCCTCGTCAAGACTGCCTTGCACTAGTAAGAAAAAATGATGTAGATATGTATATGTATAAAGATGATATATATGTATGTATATGTATAAGCCAGAAAGTGTACAATTGGTTTGACAGAAACTGCCAAGCAAACGTGCCTTAAAGTTTAAATGTTTTCAAAAACATGTGTCAATTAAATGTACCCCCTTCCCATCTTCAGCAATGGCCTTGGATGCAGAGTTAGCACCATTACTCAAAACTGTAGCAAAAAAAATCAGGAGCCCTAGGATCTACTCCTGGTTCTTCTGATTAAGAATTGTGGGCCTCCTGGCATTTAGACTCGGCTCTCAAGGTCTCTGGAGATCTGTGGAATCAGAGGTCCAAGACTGCAGAGGTGATTCTAACCCCACCCCCACCCCCCTACACTGCAGCGGCCTCGGCGCCGGGGGCACTGCAGGAGCAGCGTGGTCAGAAGGGGTCCCAGCAGCAGCCCTCGGCCACCCGCTCCCCATGGCTGGGCCCGGCGCGCCCACACCTCTGCCAAGGGTGGTGCCATCGCTCACTGCAGTCTCCACATCCCAGCAAGCACCTCGCTGGCAGGAAAATGTGCATGGTTTCTACTGCAAACATTTTCCAAGCTTCTTTGGACCAAGTGATTTGACCTCATTAAGTGGAAAGGGAGGCAGGGCAGTGACGCGGGGAGAGCCCCAGGCCGTGCCTTTGAACTTGCCTTTCCCTAGAAACGGGGGCAGCGGAGAGCCTGGTGAGCCTGCTCACCCAGGGGGCGCGCCTCCCCCTCCCCACAGACGCTCCTGTGTGCCCCGGACGCCTGGCGCCCTCTCAGGCCGACCAGCGACCTCCCAGGCCGCGCTCTGGGTCAACCCCACAGGGGAGCCAGGGTCTGACTCAGCAGTGCCCAGAGCAGTCACTGAATGAATGCCTGATTCATCAGGAAAATTCTCTTATCAATACTGTGCTTCCTACTTGCATTAAATGAATCACTAAAGAGTATTCCATACAGGCAAACATGGACATCTTCCACCTGAAAACAGAAGCGCTGAGGGCTGCAAAAGGGCGTCTATAGTCCATTGAAGCAGACACTTAGTGTTTATGTCATAAAAGAAGTTCTTTAGACAGTCTACATTGTTTAGCAGTCGGGATAAGCATGTGTCCAGTAGGAGCCCCGCCTGGCTCTCACCATGGAGATGCTGGAGTGAGGATGTGTGCCCCAGTTTCTGGGCAATGTGGTCCCAAAGGAGGCAGGGGAGAGGGCACACGCAGCCCGGATCCCAGACGTGGGCACTCAGGGGAGAGGGCGCGCGGAGCCCAGACGCGGGCACCCAGGGGAGAGGGCGCGCGGAGCCCAGACGCGGGCACCCAGGGAAGAGGGCGCGCGGAGCAGCCCTGGAGCCCAGACGCAGGCGCACGTACAAGGCTCCCTGTTTCTCTGACGTGGGCCTCTGTCCTGAAGATGCCGTTTGTGCTCTGTGTCCTATCACGAACCTCCTGCACACAAGGGGGTCCCCTCCACCTCCAGCTCCAACATCACCACCCCGCGGTGGCTTCCAAGGCCGGCCCGTCTGTATGGCTGCTGCCTGGCAGGGCGAGGTCTGCACCTCCACGCAGCAGCCGTGTTCTGCCCGGGTCTCCGCAGCGACCCTCCCGGCTGCCACCACACCTCCCAGCAGCCATTCCTACACCCGGGGGCCCGAGGCAGGCCCACACCTTTCCACGGGGCCTTCTGTGCCCTCCGCCAGACTCCACCTGGCTACTCGCCCCTGCGCTCCAGCAGGCGACGGTCCCTGGCCGAGGCTGGGCAGGCCAGTGCTGCTGCCGTGCGCTTGTGTGTCCTTCCGACACCAGCTCCTCCCCAAGTCCTCGGGTTCTCTGAGGACAGTTCTGTTTCCTCCACGCTAGCGCAGGACCTGGTGAACACACGGCCCAGGGGTGACAGATACTGCTTCTTCAAGGATCTCACGTATCACAAACTTCCAGACAGATCCAGCGCTCCCGCTGAGTCCTTGGAGGCCGGGACCCCTTGCCTACCAGATAT